TAATCGTCACTACATATACTATGGATACCAACTGTCAGAATCGCGACGGTTATCTGGTAATTAGTTCCAAATCACTGAGCCAAGTTCCGTCCAAAACTTCAAATAGGCCTGAACGATGACAGACATAACACAGCAATTCGCTAATAATCAGTTAATTAAGTCGACCAACAGATACGCAAAAACAAATTCATGACATTTCCAGGTTTCTTGGTAATATATATTTTTGAACTGCAGTATATAGATGTTATCAAATGTCGAATAACCATGCCTAAACCCAGCCTGTGCCTCGTCGATTTTTCCAAGGCATTCGCCCAAAAAGTTAAGCGTGCATTTAAAATGGATGAACAAATCTTACTAAAAATACTAAGTAACAATATCGCTCTATAATTACCTGGATCATTCTTTGCACCATTTTTATAAATTGGAACGATTATCACCTTTGACCACTCAATTGGAACAACACCAGATTCAGATTCCACCAGCGATGCTATGGAAAAATCTAGTACTTTATAAAACAGGGATGTGGAAATATGACATAATCAACTGTGCTCGTACCATTACGTGTGATGCATTTGAAGTCACTTACACCTGCGTCATTGCCAAGTCTGTACACCAAAAGTACAACACAACTCAAGAAGAGAGTGCCCAAATAAATTGATTTCTGTATCTTTAGATACACTTGGTACGTGAAAAGGGTCTGCAACATACCCAGCTGAACATTCTACTACATAATTAGGATTATCATCAAAAATGTAATCGACTTCATTGGCTGTTCTACTGTTAAAATCGCCAGTAATGACGAGATTGACATCGTAATAACAAATAAAATCAACAAAATCACAGGAGGATAATTTACTTGTTAGCCCTCTAACGTTCCAGGAAATAAATGTCAGTTCTGTCGGACCGTGGCCGAATTCCTATTCTGAAGCAATGTAGTTATTAGATGCAAGCTTTCTCTGTAAGCGAGTTCTTGGTTCTTCTCTCCTCGGTGGTATTTGTTCACCGACACCAAGACTTCGATCGGGTTCGGAATTTACACTTTCGGTTCTATCCACTTATTATCATTATCAATCACTACCAATCTACCATTCTTATAATATCCCCTTCCGGCTCTGTTTCCTCAGATTGCCGTTTTGCTTTGTTATTGCCAATACCAATGTCAGCGCGCGCAGAAAGAGCCATCAATTTATCATCAAAATGGTGAAATTTTACGGCAATGGGGTTGAATTACCGGTAGATTGTCTATATGTACGGGCGCCCTCACAATGTCATGTTTTACCCAGGATTTGGCTTTCACATTGCGATTTAACTTTGTATGTTTCTCGCACTTCTTGATCAACATCAAACAACACTACATTATCTCTTCTACTAAATGATTCCTGTTCATCGATTACAGTCTCTTTTTAAGACGCCCACGTCTGTTTTTTAAGTCCGACACTGTTTTTGTTATATCGCGTAGACCTGCTTTTAATCCATTACAGGTCTGTTGTAACTTATCCTGTGTCGCTTTCATGCCTTTCATCTTTCTAGATAGACTGTTCATTTTACCGTTGAGTTCTTTACTCATTTTGTGCAATTCCGTCATAATTTCTAAATTACTATCAATCGTGGATCGATTTGTGGTAGCATCTGGATTAGGACCGGGATTTAATACACAACTGCGTTAGGATAAGTTTCACAGTCATTACCACATTTCTCCCATTGTCATGCAAATGTATAGGTGTCAGAAATTGCCATTTTACCTTTGTTCTACCTGGCTGTGTAAAACTGCAAATTCTTGCTCGGTAGGCTTCAACGGAGATACCTATCGCACCAATATTTTCCACTAATCACACTGCCGATTAACTCTGCATGAACTCAATAACGCTTGGAAAGCAGCGAGAAAACGAAAACTTGCTGGAGCCGAGATTTACAACTCTGTGTTCATTAACACCCTCAATATCCTGGTACAATATCTTAGTAAAATATCGTAGTACAGTATCTTAGTACAATATCTTAGTACAATATTTTAGTACAATATCTTAGTAGAATATCGCTGTGCAATATTGTAGTACAATATCTTAGGATATTATCTTACTACTATATCTTAGTGCACTATCTTAATAAATATCTTGGGACAATTAAGATATTGTCTTAGTGCGATATCGTAGTAGAACATCTTAGTATAATATCTCAGTACAATAAGTTGTACAATGTCGTAGTACAATAGCTTAATACAATATCGTAAAATAATATATTAGAGTAATAGCAATAGTTTGGTATACTATCTTAGTATAATCTCGTAGTTTACCTGCTTGCGTATATGACGCTCTTGCAAGTTGTAACAGGGGCGGATACAGGATTTTTTATGGGGGGTGCAAACTTTAAAATCGCCAGACTAAGTTAATGATATTTTTATATTTGACAAAAATAAATTGAATATTTTTTTTCAACCGAGCGGGAGGGGCGATTCGGACCCCAAGAACCCCCCTAGATCCGCCACTGTGCAATGTTATTACATGAATGCAAAACAGGCCATCTAAAAGAAGTTATTAATCACAATTTATAACTTAAACGTATACTAGAAACTAATGAGGGTTTTTTGTGTGTGTGTGTGTTCGCCTATTTTCAATCAGTAGTTTGAGAATACATGATACAAGTTATAAGAAAATGAACAAAAGCCCATGCTTCGATTACCGTTCATTGATCTTCTCGTGTACGTTCGTGTGCCAACTAGCAGGGATGATTGGCAATATTACTAGTATATATCTATGACCTTTCATTCGAATTTCCCGTCGTGCAGTTCTGCATTGACCGCCTAGCGTATTAACAAAAACAACTAGATGTTTGCGTTTTCTTCAAGCATAATGCGTTGTTTATAAATTTTTTCGTCTGTCAATGTATTGAAATTTTTAAATATCACCTGCAGAGAAATTGCTGCATTGCGAATAATTCACTTATTTTACCATCCTTTGGGCGTCAGTAAGTTTATTTCTGCGCAGACGCAGAATACCTTTTACCGCCATCTTGGATTTTATCCACATGGACTTGTGCTGGAAGTGACAAATTTTCACCGAAATAGTGCAAATTTGGGATTTAGTTAATTTTTTTTAACTAACTTACTTTTTCTATTTGGTTTCACATTTCGACCATCTGCAATGAAGCTAAATACGGCGAAAGATTCGCCTAAAGACGTCGAAATGAAGGATGCCGACACGACGGTTGTTACCAACGGCGAACAAGGAAAGAAAGAAACGGATTTGATCACATTGGAAGGTAACATTATGTGTAACTCTTGTAATAAAGTTATTAATTTGTGTAATTTATCATAGATATTTTATGTGGCATATTATTGTACAGTTACGCCATACATAATACAAATAAAGACTTCGGTTATATTACGTTACAGCCCCGTTTCATCGTCTGATGTTGACAGCCGATCGGTCTGTATTTTGCTGAATCACGACTGATCATAGAACAATTTAGGTTGATAAAATACTGAAAAATGCGGAATGAATTGCTTCGTTGTATATATTTAAATTAAAAAATTGCTGTTTCTGCATATAAACAGCTCGTTTGTTTATATCTTTGTTTGGCTTGACAATTTCTCTGAATTCGTCATTGTACTAGTATCATGAATTGAGTATGTTATTATGATAACTACAGTAATTCATTTATTGATATTGAACTTTACCTTTTTAATTTCGTAGAATAGCCGA